TGAGATCATTAGCGTTTTCCCCGCTGGGGTGCAGCCATGCTCTGTCCCCGTCGCTCTCTTCTGTGCAATTGTCTTTTGGAAGTGTGCAGTTTGTTTCTTTGTGTTGTGTTGTTTTTACAGGTGGTCACAGTTAAGGGATTGCCTTGAGTCTCAGAAGAGACTTCTGAAGTTGGACTAAATGTATTTCGCATCATGAGACAGCCATGAGCCAACTGGCACAAGAGACATATATCGGCTAATACAGCTCAACATTTGGTGCCTAGCTGGCATTACTGTTTGGGAAAACTGTGACGGCTTCAGGAGGCAAAGCCTTGCTGGAGGAAACACAACACCAGAGGAGGGTGGGCCTTGAGTTTTTTGGTGTTTTGTTGTTTGTTTTAAGACTTATTTATTTTTTATTTTATGTATGTGAGTGTTTTGCCTGCAGAGGCCAGCAGAGGGTGTTGGATCCCCTGAAACTGGAGTTACGGGTGCTTGTAAGCAGCCATGTGGGTGCCTGGAACTGAATCCACGTCTTCTGTAAGAGCAGTGAGGGCTCTCAGCTGAGGAGCTGTCTCTCCAGCCCCAGGCTTGCTCCACAGCTGTCCTGCCTCTGCTCTGCCTGGTTTTGAGCTGTTGATGGGCGGTAAGTCCTCTGGAACTGAGCCAAAATGAACCTTGTCCCTGAAATTGCTTGATTTTGTGTTTTACCACAGCAAGAGAGGAGAAACCAACACATAGACTGGTAGAAGGGAGGCAAGTAGAACCTGCTGACCCAACATGCCCCAAACCGTCCCAGCTACTGTGCGTCTGGGGTAGTCCATGGGTAGCGTGTGGATACTGAGTCAGATTCGCCAGTTTTGAAAGCTTTCATTCTTAGAAAAATGCTACTTTCTGTCATGCCTGGAGAGCCAGCAGGAGACGAACGCTTTAGACCAAGTGTACTGGGGGTGGGACTGGAGAACAGGTCATCAGCTTTGCCTCACAGTTCCATTCTAGGGTGTGCAGGCTCATGGTCAGGTCCTCCCCCACCCTCCTGGGAGGGGATATTTTCTCTGCATCCTAAACAAACCCTTTACAATGGTCCAGATGAGTTGGCCTGGAGGATTAGCACACCTAGGTTCCTGTCTGCACATAGATGCTACACAGCCCAAAGTTCTTCCCCATGGCCTTGGTTCTGGCAACAGCTGATACACTAACCAGGGAGCCCACGAAAGACCCCAAGAGCTAAGGTGTCTCCCTTCCCTCTCCAGTTGTTCTGGCTTAGAGGAGAGTTTCCCAAGTGTGGCTGTCAGCCTGTGAGTGCTGACGACTCTCTTCAGGAATCGCAGCCAGGGTCATAGGAATTCCCATAGGACCAGATATTATTTCCTCTTTTCTCCCCTCCTTGCCCTCCTTTCCCTTTCCTCTGCCTACCTTCCTCCTCCCTCCCTCCTTTCCTTCTCCTTCTTCTTTTGGATACAGGATCTCACTCCATAGCACAAGCTGACCCCAAACTTGTCCTTTCGTATTTTTTTATATTATATTATATTTTGGTCTTTTTGAGGCAGGATCTCACTGTATATTGTTGGCTGTACTAGAACTCACTTTATAGACCAAGCTGGCCTTGAACTCACAGAGATTCTCCTGCCTTTGACTCCTGAATGGTAGGATTAAAGGCATGCACCACCACTCCTGACCCCCTTCCCTTCCTTCGTTTTAAACCTAACATACTAAGAATATATATGTTTCGTTTGGGAGAAGTGAACAACACCCAAAAGGGGTGGTGGTGGTGGTGAGGGCAGTGGCCTTTTCTGTGACCAAAATACCCTGACAAAGGCAACTTAATGGAGAAAGTGTTTATTTTGGTTGCTGTGGTAGTTTGAATGTAATTGGCCCCCATAAGGTCATAGATAGTAGCACTATTAGGAGGTATGGTTTTGTCGGAGTAGGTGGCCATGTTGGAGGAAGTGTGTCACTGTCAAGGTGGACTTAGAGGTCTCATATATGCTCAAGCCATGCCCAGTGTCTCAGACCTCTTCCTGTTGCCTGTGGGTCCTTTTCCAGCGCCACGTCCGCCTGCATGATAATGGACGAAGTCTCAGAACTGTAAGCAAGATACCCCCAATTAAAAGTTTTCCTTTATAAGAGTTGCTGTGAGTTGTAGAAATGGCTTAGTGGATTAAGAACACTGGCTGCTCTTCCAGAGATCTAAGGTCAGTTCCCAGCAACCACATGGAGGCTCACAGCCATCTATAGTGGGATCTGATGCCCTCTACTGGCATAAAGTAGTATATGCAGAGCGAGTGCGCATACACATAAAAACAAACAGATGCCATGATCATGGTGCCTCTTCACAGCAACAAAAATCCCAACTAAGACAGACACAATGTTGGGGAAGTCACGGCTGCAGGGACTGAGTGGCTGGCCACATTACATCACCGTCAGTAAGTAGAGAGTGAGGAAGTCTTGTGTTCAGCTTGCTCTCTCCTACTTTTTCTCTCCATCATTTAGTGTGAGTCTTTTCCCTCAATTAATCTAATCCAGAAAATCCTTCACAGACGTGCCCAGAGATCTGTCTTCAAGGCAAGCCTAGATCCTGGAAGATTGACACCCAATGGAAAACAGATCTCATCAGCCCTGCCTCTGGAGTGCAGTACTGTATAGACCTCTCTAGAACATGGCCCAGGCTATGCGGCCTGCTCAGATGCACATCTTACCTGAGTAGGGCTTCCACAGGGGCCACTATTGGACTATCTTGGACTGAGGAAGAAAAGAGGGGTGGGCTGGAAGGTTAGCGGAGCTGCGTCCATCTATCGCCTCTTCCCACTCTGTTGACAGCAAGGAGCCCGTGTGCTCTTAGTGAGAGGTCTGCCTCCCCTCACATCTGCTTCTCTAGCCTTTAAACGTCCTGATGATGAGAACTCAGGAAGTGGAGCCCAAACTGCATTCTAGATCCATTCCTCCATAGCATTCTGAAGTGATTACAGTCTCCAAACTCATGCTTTCCCTCAAACTTCCACAAAGCTTCCCCGCTCCACCGCCAGAACAAATGCTTCACTAGAGGGAAATAGTGGGACCTATTTATAACTTGTCAAAGCAGCCAGAGATTTTATGCCCATTTTAGACAGTTCTCCGATGTGGAATAGAATGTCAACTAGGCAAAGATGTGTCACCTTTGTTTATGCTGCACAAATGTAACTATGTGTGTTACATTTGTTTCACCTTGCCTGCCTAAGGCACCTTATTGGTCTAATAAAAAGCTGAGTGGCCAATAACTAGACAGAAGAGGGATACGCCATGCTGGCAGACAGAGTAAGTAGAAAGAGAAATCTAGGAGGAGAGAAGAAGAGAGAAAGAGAGGGACACACCCAGGGCCAGAAGCCAGGCAACCACCTGCCATCCAAACAAGAGAAGCAGTGAAAGTAAGAGATACAGAAGGAGGCCAGATGGCGGTGCATGCCTTAAATCCTAGCACTCGGGAGGCAGAGGCAGACGGATCTCTGTGAGTTCGAGACCAGCCTGGTCTACCAGAGCTAGTTCCAGGACAGGAACCAAAAGCTACACAGAGAAACCCTGTCTAGAAACAAAACAAAACAAACAAACAAAAAAAAAAAACAAAAAGGAAGGAAGGGAAGAAGGGAGGGAGGAAAAATGAGAGGAAGGAAGGAAGAAAGGAAGAGAAAAAGATATACAGAAGGAAAGAAAGGTTAAAAAGCCCTGAGGCAAAATGTGGATGAAGAAGAACAGATAGTTTAAGTTATAAGAGCTAGCAAGATACAAACATAACATAAGGCCGAGCGCTCATAACTAGCAGGAAGTTCTCCGTGTCATGACCTGGGAGCTGGTTTGTGGACCAAAAGAAAAAGCCTGCGGCAGTTCTTTCCTTGTCCCGTGTGTCCCCAAGGAAAAAGCCTTGAACTAGAGTCTCTGAGAGGCCAAGTTCCCATAACAGTCGTAAGGCACTGGTTTACTGACCTGACCAGATCTCAGAAACCACATCCCAAGTGAGAAAACTCTCCGGCACCTGTCTGCTCGTCCAATACCAGCTGTCTTTCTCTTAGATTAGGAGGCCACTTGCTAAAAAGATCTCTTAACTCTTCCTATTGTTAACCGCCCCCCTCCCAGCCATCAACCCCCAACAACAGTTCCGTTCACTTCATCAGTGTGATGAGTTCCTGGTCTCTTTAATGCCCGGAACTTCTCTGTTGCCCCTGACCCCGGAAAGGGGAATCTGTCACCTTGTTTGGTTTCTAGGTCAAAAGCACAGGCTTTGTTTATTACTGGCGTTTCCTTCCTCTCACCACACTGAGTTCAGAGGCAATTTCTTCATGAGGGTGACCAAACTCACTCACAGCCTGAAGGCTAGACTCGGATCATGAGCTCTTGGTAGAAACCTTGTCACCAGAGTTTAGAAAAGGCTCCTGCCACCAGTTGGAGGCCAGCCTGGCCTCCCCAAAGCCTCTACTAACTCCTTTCAGCTTTCCTGTTCGTTGGGCAGCTCACGGTGGTGTTCTGGGAGGTAACAGACTTAACAGACTATAGGAACCGCCATAAAAGTGTTTAAATTTTGGACTGAGCTAAGGCCAAACACTGGCCTCTAGTGACCTTTGCAGGCTACTAACAGCAGGGTCCTTTTATGTGCCTCCTGTTTATCGGGCGACTAACCCAGCCCTAAGTCCTTGCAGAAGAAGCCTTTCCCTCTAGAACAATCGAGGCATCAGAGTCCTGCCTGTGTGGATGCTTTATGAGGTGTCCCGACAGAGAAGGGGAGACGAGAGTTTGCAGAGTGGAAATAGTTCTCGGGTCGCTTTGTAGTTTCTGAGTCCAAAGAGTACGCGTAAGTCACTCATCCGCACTACATGTCCACGCGAGGTTGCTGTGCTCTGTCCCGCAAGAGCCTGCGGGGTGGTGGGCGCGGAGTCCGCGGCGAAGGAGGCAGGTGCGGGGGCCGGTCCGGCGCCGGGGAGGAGCCCTGCAGAGGGGCGTCGCGCGCGGCCGCGGGCTGCGGGGGGCGGGGAGGCGGCGCGGGGCGGGGCGGGGCGCAGGCGGCGGAGCCCCGGGATTGCGCGCCCCGCGCTGGCGCTGCACTCGAGCCGTGGCCACCAACCGCGTCGCCTACTCGGGGCTGGAACTTCCAGGGGTCCCCCGCTCCAGGTCGGTGGCGGTGCCCGGACGGACGGCGGGGACTCCGTGTCTCCCAGGGCTCCAGAGCCCGCGTAGCCTGCGGCCGAGCCCGAGCTCCGGGCGCCCAGCGCCCATCAGGGCAGACCCGGCACTCCGGACGGGCAGGCTCTGACCGCCGATGAGGAGTACGGGGCGGCTGCGCGAGCGGCCCGCGCGCTGAGCCGAGGCTACCCTGTCCCGCGGCCGACCCGACGCCGCAGCCCCCCCGCAGGTAAGATCGGGAGTCGGCCCCGCGCCGGCCGAGGGCGCTGCACGACCAGGTGGCGGGAAAGGGGCGCGCGGCGACCGACACCGCGGGCTGCTGCGAACAAAGCTGGGGCCGCGCGCGGGTGCCTGGCGCGGGCAGGTGGGGCGCGGGCGTCCAGGGGCTCCGCGCTCGTTCGGCGTGTGGCCAGGAGAGGGGCTGGCACCCGGGCCGCTGCGCGTCGCTTCTCCGAAGCTTGAGTCCGGAGCGGCTGTGCTTTTCCCGGCTTGGCGGGACCCAGCTGCAGTTGTCCATGCGACTGTAAGGCACGGAGTGTCTCGGACAGGTACCGCTAAGGGGTGACTTTAAGTCCCTGCCCCAGGCCAGCGCAGTTGCGCCCTGGAGATGTGGTGCTATCTGGTTCGATTGCTCCTTTGCATCTCTCTCTCCATCCTCACGGGGCGCCCCGGCGGGTATCTGGCCCAGCACTCTAGTCAGACACAACTTTCTTGGTTATTGCATCCTTAAAAAGTCGTCATTGGACACTGCTCACTTTGCTTCTAGAACGTTCGGTTCTGTTTTGCAGGCAGAGAAACAGAGGTGGCTCAGGCCCAGGGTGAGCCCTCAGTGAGTTGATGGGGGAGGAAGCCTTTGCCCTCCACTTTACCAAAGTCTTTCTTCACTGCCTTTGCTACCGGGCCACGTTGACAAAGCTCTCAGCGGTTTCCACCCTGGGTAGTTTCAGCCTGGTACCTGGAAGAAAAAAGGCCCAGGGTTAAGTTACCAGTCTTCTGAACGGCTCAGGCCACCTCGGAGCTCAGGCCCCCCATTTGCCAGAATGGTGTCCATGCTGTCTGTCAGTATAGGAGCGGAGATAGCAAGCAGGCAGCGGCTCACTCCTTGCCGGATACCAGCGTTCATACAGGCCCATGTGGAAGCGTAGGATTCCTTTTTTGTGACTGGCCAGGTAAAACAGGGCTCCTGGCGGAGGAGGTACACTCTCAGAAAGCTGGAGAACCTTCTCCTGCACCCGCAGTCGCTGCCTGGATCCACCTGGAGAGTGGATTGTTTATCAAAGAAGAGACTCTGATCTCAGGCACAGGCTGAGGATGCTAGTCTGGCAGTCACAGGTCTGACCTGGCAAACACCCCACCTTGGTGTAAGGCTGGGTGGAGGGAAGGCTGGGTGATGGTTTTATTTCAACATAGTGTCCCATCTCTCTTTGACACATAATTGGTAGTTATAAATAGCAAGAAGGAGGTACGTTTTAAAAGGCAATGTCCAGAGACCCTGAGGGCCAGTGTGAGAAGTAAGGCAGTGGGGGGTCTTCATGGGATGTGGAGGGCAGGAGGTGTACCTGAAGCTCGGGCTCCTAACCAACAGGTGCAGGTGGCTGTCACCATGAGGGACTGTGGGAGGCCTCCTTTAGCTTTTGTTTTGTTTTGTTTTAAGGGTAGCCCTGACTATCCTGGAACAAACACTGTAACCTCAAACTCAGAGATCTGCCTGCTTCTGTCTCCCGAGTGCTGGGATTAAAGGTGAATGGCACCACGCACAACCCTCTTACCTCCCCCCTTCCCCTTCTCCCCTTAAAGTCAGAGGCTCTGGGACACAGTGTGGGGGTTTGCGTGTCAAGGGAACCCATCCAGGCATAGAAGAGCCTGCTTGCTCTTTCCCGTCTGCTCAATTCCCAGTTTCCCAGGCTCGGCTCCTCCAAGTAGTTAAGTATGTGAGTGATGGTGTTTGCTCAGGGTGCTGTAAACCAACTACGTCTTTAGTGTATGTGTGGTTGTGACTCCTTCCAGGGTTTCTCACTGCTCTGAAACAATCCTTCGCTTAAACATTTTCTGTCTAGGAAGCATAAAAGCTACAGGGTGATGCCGGAGTATAGCTCAGTGGTAGAGTGTATGTTTATTGTGTGTTTCAGGTCCTTTTCCCATCCCACGAACAACACACACACGAGACAGAGACAGAGACAGAGAGAGAGGGAGAGAGAGAGAGAGAGAGAGAGAGAGAGAGAGAGAGAGAGAGAGCACTTTCTAATTCCCAAAATTTCTGGTAGACATATACTGGGAAAAGAAAACCAGAATTGTTCTTCACCGGTGTATTCCATCCTTCTCTTAGCCCAGTGGCAATGATTTTGTTTTCTTGTTTGCAGTGCTGGGGTTGGAACACAGGGCCCTGAGCGTGCCAGGCAAGTACTCCATGGCCGAGCTCATTCCTAGCCCAAAAGCGTTTTAAAATGATTTTGTTGTTTGTTTTTCTTTAAAGGGGAGGCTAGCCTGGTGCGTCCTGACTTTGACGGAGGCAATCCACCATTCGGAGTTTGCTCTCCCGGTTCTTTTTGCACAACTATTATTCATCTCCTTAATCTTCTCTAGAAGTCCTCAGCACCCACCGCCCCGCACCTCAGTCCAGTCCTCAGGGGCTCCCTTGTGACGTGATGAGCAGAGGTTGTATTTCAGGTCTCTCAGAGCTTGGAAGGGCTGTAGATGGGAAAATCCCTGCGTGGCAAGAGTGCTGGGAGCCACACATCCAGGCCTCAGAGGCTGCTTTCCGTTGAGCCTTTCCAGACTGTGCTGGGAGCCCAGAGAATCCAGGGCATAGAGATGGTGTTCAGGGTGAAGGCCTGGACCCTTCTCTGAGACACTCCTCCATGCCTCTCCTAGCAACATGTTGGTGGAGTCTCAGAAATGACCTGCTGTGGACTCAGCTCTGGCTAGCTCTTTTCCTTCAGCAAGAAACGCCCGTGGTGCCAGAGAGCAGGTGACTGCCCTGCTCTTCCCAAGCCGTCGCCACCCCTGGGCGGCTGTTTACCTGGCTAAATTTAAACCTCCACCCTCTGAATCCCCTGGCTCACCGGCTGCTGTGACCGCTGGCCGGCTGCTGTGGCTGCGTTTCCCGACTTCGTCCCTGTGGTTACAGTCTGGTCTTTTTGTGCTGTGTGAGTCCTCTTTCAGGCTTTCTAAAGTTGGCTTCTCTCCTCCCTCCTTCTCCACCCCTGTGGCTTTCTTCTTGACTCTCGCCCGCCGGCTGATTTAGAACCTGGGTCGGTGCTGGTGGGAGCCTCGCCCTGACGCCCTTCTAGATGTCATGCATGAAAGTTTCAGAGGGGCTGCTCACAGGCTGCTACTGCAAGCCCTAGGGGCACTGACTATGCCACACCCGGCCCCCGTCAGGTTCTGGGGGTCCCCTCACTTACTATGGTGCTGGCTACAGCCACTAAAGGGTGCTAAAGAGACATTTTTCTGAGTTCGGCACATCCCAACTGCAAACCCCAAAGACCTCACCTGTCCTGTGCACCCTGATCTTTGTATCTTTGTTTTCTTCTGGATTTTTGCCCTCGTTTCTGTTTTGAAGATGGGATGTACATTATACTCTCTCCTTTGGCACTGATTTTTCTGTATAGCAGGTTGTCTTAAAGGCCCTTCAGTTCTGACCCCGTCCTCTGCACAGCTTTGCCTTGCGGTTTGTGGAAGTTAGGATGTTGTGGCTCTGGCCCGGGTGGGAGGCCCGCCAGCGGGAGTCCGGGGTGTGTGCTCCTGGAGGTGAGCGAGGTGCTGAGAGGAAGGCCTGGGCCTTGTCCCTTCATGGTTCCTGTCTCACAAAGCCTGGTCTAATGGGCAGGTTTTGTGGTCACACCTCGAGAGCCTTTGGTTGGCCTCCTGGTCCATCCCAGCCCCAGGGATCTCTGTGGGTAGGTAGCATCCTGAAGATTATGACAGGGCGCTTTGTCTGTAGCTTCAGGTGACTTGGACATAGGTACCTGTTTTGTTTTTATTGTTTGTTAGTTTTGCAATTTAGTCATTGAATTAGGAGGGGTTGTAAAGCTTAAAAAGTTAAATCATTTGCCTTTGAGTTCCTCATTTGAAAGTTTTCTTCTCAGTAGCTTCCTTGAACCTGGAATACAAACCCCTAAACTGTTGTCTGTGTGGTTCATAAGCTCAGAGCGCCTCTAACCAGGACTGTGGGCTGGCGGTGGCTGAGTTTGGGTTAGAAAAGCCAGTGACTTAGGTTGGTTCAGCAACCGGCACCTTTCCCAGCTCGCCAACAGTTTACCTGCAGACACTAAGTTAGAGTTGTCGTCAGGGCAGAATTTAGTAAATCTTTACTCATAATTTCCCGACAAACTCCTCAGCAGTGTTGAAAATAGCACAGCACAGAACATCATAAAGCTATTGAGGCCGGGCTGCTGGTGGTCCTGATGTTGCGGATCCTCACTGAGCTCGCTCATATTGAGAGGAAGTCCAGTATGGCTGTGCCTCTGGGCTGTGCCGCTCCTGACTCCCTGTGTTCCGTTCTTGAGCTACATGTAGGAAAGAGCCTGGTATCCTAACCTCCTCCCCTCTTGATGTAGGAAAGAGCCTGGTATCCTAACCTCCTCCCCACCCGAGAGGGCAGGAGGCTGCCGACGGTGGGAAGGTTGGAGCACAGCCGGGAGTCCGTCACCCGTGCACCTTGAAGACTGCACACTTTGCCCACATTGGTTAAGAAGTTGCTCTTGGGAAATTGTGAGTAATCTGCAGACATCTTGTTTGGAGTTTGAGCCCTTCAGTCAGGGTAATGAACCCTTAGAGGATGTCATCTAGGAGCTGATGTGTGGAAGGCTGGGAAGGGAGGGAGACTCTGAGTGATATACTCAGAGCCAGGAGCAAGAACATGCTGGGGTGGGGGGTGGAGAGGTGGCTCAACAGTTGAGATCACTTGTTGCTCTGGTAGAGGACCTGGGTTCAGTTCCCAGCAGCCCCATGGTGGTTCACAAGCATCTAGTTCCAGGGGATCTGATGCCCTCTTCTGAATGCTAAGCGCACCAGGCACGTACATGGTGAATAAACATATATGTAAGAAAATATTCGGGGCTGGAGAGATGGCTCAGTGGTTAAGAGCATTGCCTGCACTTCCAAAGGTCCTGAGTTCAATTCCCAGCAACCACATGGTGGCTCACAACCATCTGTAATGGGGTCTGGTGCCCTCCTCTGGCCTGCAGGCATACAGACAGAACATTGTATACATAATAAATAAATAAATATTAAAAAAGAAAATATTCACATTCATAAACTAAAAAATAAATCTAAGAACGTAATAAACGGAACAAATTGGAACTACAGAGACCGAGGCCAAGGCTCCATGGTACTTCATGGACCTGGGTGTGAACCGCCATTGAACCACCCGCAGCTGCACAGTCTTAGGTGAGGAGGGGCTGTAAAACTACACCGCTACACTGGTTCTGGTTCCATTCTGCACTCTACTCGCTATGCGCTAGGGGAACTGGGCTGAAAATTTGAAAACACACAACACAGACAGAGACAGACGGACAGGCAGGGCTTGAGACAAGACTGCCAAAAATGCCGACTTATTGTGCTCTGGGGCAGCTTATATAGGGCTCTGGCCACGCCCCGGCTCTTGGGATCTTTCAGCTGCAGACCCACTACCCCTGCCATTAGGATCTCAGAGCAGAGGAAAACAAGTTGTTTACGAGAAATTCAGGGTCTGGTGGTCCGCAGTCCCCAACAAGGAGCAGTTAACTTCTTTTCCTCAGCTTCCATATTCGTAGGCTGGTAACAGTATCTCACACCTATCCTCCATGTGGCTGTGTGGCAGGTTGTGATGAAGGGGGTGGGGGTGGAGAGAGAGAGAGAAATGAAAGGGAAAGAGTAGCGAAGGGAAAGATAGTAGCGGCATCCTTGTTTTGCATGTAGCCCTCAAGGCAGACCTGCTGCATCAGCGTTTTGCTAACTCTCAAGGAAGATGAGGACCAAAGAGACAGATAGTGCAATAGTAAAGGAGATGGCTATGTAACCCCGGTAACCGAAGTTCAGGCCCTGGAGCCCACGGAATGAAGAGCACTGACCCCATCACAGTTGACCTTTGGCTTCTGCTTGCACACACACGTGTGGACAAGCACACACCCCTAACTGTGAAAGGAGGCGCGTGACCTACACCTGACCTGGAAGGACATCCCATCCTAGAGGCATTTGAATTCATGACTTTAAAACTCCTGCTGCAGGGGCTTGAGAGATGGCTCAGTGGTTAAGAGCATTGCCTGCTCTTCCAAAGGTCCTGAGTTCAATTCCCAGCAACCACATGGTGGCTCACAACCATCTAAAAATGAGATCTGGTTCCCTCTTCTGGCCTGCAGACATACACACAGAATATTGTATATATAATAAATAAATAAAATATTAAAAAAAAAAACTCCTGCTGCAACCTCAGAAATGTCAGAAAGCTGGCTGCTGTGCGGTCCTTCTGCTGGACGATACGGGTGGATACAGGGCTGTTTAAGTGGCCATCTGTGGTCCACAGCAGGGCCCGCCAGCTTTCCCTGGTATCCGGTCCTTTTCCAGTGCACCACATCAAGGGGGGGTGGACCAAATCTTTTTTTTTATTTATTATGCATACAGTATTCTGTCTGTGTGTATGCCTGCAGGCCAGAAGAGGGCACCAGACCCCATTACAGATGGCTGTGAGCCACCATGAGGTTGCTGGGAATTGAACTCAGGACCTTTGGAAGAGCAGGCAATGCTCTTAACCTCTGAGCCATCTCTCCAGCCCCCTGGACCAAATCTTTTAAGTTGTCAGGGCCCAGATAAAGTTGTTTAACTTGTTGGGGCCCAGAGTCTGTGTCCCCCACAATGCTCTCTACCTCGACTCTGATCTGATGGCTCAAGGATTAGGCCTGTGTAATGGATCGTAGTTACATCCTCCTCCTCTCATTTCTGCTCTGCATGGAGACTTCTCACGCTTCCTGGCCACACTCTCTCTGCTTTCCAGTGACCTAAAACACAGCCAAGACCTAGCGCCACGGCCAGAAAAACCCTTCACACCTGCCTTCTGCCTGCCAGGCCAGCTTCTGTCCACACACCTCTCGCCTGCTGCTGACACCTCATGCCTGCCGTGTGACACCTGTGCTCTGCCACGGTCCGAGGTTGCCTTGTCTACCTGTCAACATGGGCTGCAAATCTGCCCTGGCCCCCACCATGTTCTTATTCTTCTCCAGCGCCTCCTCAGAGCTAAACTGTCTGAGCTAAAAGTGCACAGTAAATGTGTTGTTTGGGTTGGTTTTGGCGTTTGTTTATTTGAGACAGGGCTTCACTCTGTCACCCTGATTGGGTTTAGACCAGTCTGGCCTTGAACTCACAGAGATCTTCCTGCCTCTGCTTCTATTTCCTAAGAGTTAGGTGCTGAGGACACGTAACATCCTGGACATGAGGTTGTGCCCACAAGTCAGTCTGGTGTCGTAGTCTAAACAGGAGTGCTGCTTGTCTTTCTGACCGCTACAAAATAATGGTGATGCTGGACTCAGTAAAATCAGGCAATGCCCTGGTTGCTGTTTCCTCCAGCGACCTTGTGTCATTTTCTTGGGAATGTCCTGGTTTTTGCCAAATGGAATATTTAGAGTGTCACCTTCATGTCGGGCCATCTGTTGACTAAGTGTTTAAACTGAGTGAGGGAGCCCTAGGCAAAGGCACGTGCTCCAGGCTACCTAGACCCGAGGTTTGAGGCTCCTTGGCTCTGGGAAGCCCCCCCAGAAATCAGAAGTCTATGATATCTGCCCCTCAGTTCACGGGGGTCATGGGCCCGCGAGTGAACCAGTGCGCAGCCGCTGCCCCATGCCTGACTCTGGAGTCGTTAGGATGGTGTGAGGTGCTGAACCTCGGGGTAGTTCACAGTCAGCAAAGGTGCTGCTCCTACCTGCGGGATGTGCGGAATGGAAGCAAGACCCGGAGGTTTCTTTCAATCCACTGACGAAACACAGCCCCCGGGGACTCGGGTGACTCATAGCTGGCACTTGTCTTCTTGTTTTTGTACTTCTAGGAGTGGCTTTGAAAACTTTGTAGAAGCTTGTCTGGCGAGGTGAAATAGTATCCCCAAGAACTGAAAAGAAGTTACATTCTCAAGCCAAAGCATTGTGTGTCCCCCGCCCCAGCCCACTTAACACTTGGCTGTTTCACAACCCTGTCGTCAGAAACCGTGTCAGATAGAATGTCATCAACACAAATGTCTTCATCGTGAAAGACGGGGTCAGATCTCCTATGCACAGTGCTTAGAAAATCAAGTCGTGTGTGCCCGGTGCCGGTGCCGGTGTGAAGAGGTGGCCTTGGGCAGGTTCCCCCGAGCCCTGCTGACCTCGGCTTTCCCACTTGTGAGCCTCCTTCCAGGGCTGGCGTGAGGAGCAGCTGAAGGGAGTCCTGACTGCTCATGCAGAGTGCACGCGGGGCGTTCGTTGCTCGTAGAAAGGTCTCAGGAAACATTTGCACCATCATGCTTCTGAACAACCACAAAGAATGCCATTGTGCGGCGGGCCAGAGAGTCAGCACGATGTAACAACCAGCAGTTTGCTATGTCTGGGAGGCAGGGTGTTGTTTTGATTCTTAAACGAGCATTAATAAGCTTCACAGACATGTCAGGCCCATGGCAGTCTGTCTCAGGTAACACTGCCTTCTCCATCTCGTACAGCTGTGACCAAATCAAAATCCCTGGTCAGGGCCTGAGCTGGCAGCTTTGAGTGCGTCCTTGCAGTGGGGTTATGAGAGCACACTGTTAGGTGTTCTGTGACTCTCATAGGCTCACCCTCAAAACCGTTTTGTGGAGATGGACCCCCTCTGACCTCTGACTCTTTGGAACACTGGCCTCTGAGAACATACGTGGGCTTCCTTCCAGGATTGCAAGCTGGGGAGAAACTCTAAGCCTCGCACACTCTCTGCGCCTCTATCTCTGCCCCATCCTGTCTTGCCACAGAGCAAGAGGGTTGTGTTAGGAAATCCAGCCAGGGCCTCAGTGCTTGCTGGGCAGATGTTCTGCCATTAGCGTTTATGTCCCCATGTCCCCTTTTTCTGTTTTGATCAACGTTATTGACATGTAACTGGCATACAGTGAAATCCACACGTTGGAAGTGTGTAAGTCGGTAAATTGGGACAAATGTATATGTCCATTAAATTATCCTCTTACCCCCCAAGACATCCGTACTTCCCCAGCAAATTCCCCTTACAGCATAGTGCACACTGCCCACCGTGAACCCAGGCAGCTGCATGTGGTTTGGGTCATTGGAGATGATACTTACCTGTCCCCAGATTACATCACTTGATTTATACGAGGATCGGGGGTTTCTCCTTCACTGCTCAACTTCTTTTGCCTGACAAGATATCTGTGAGAGGCCGGGCGGTGGTGGCGCACGCCTTTAATCCCAGCACTCGGAGGCAGAGGCAGGCGAATCTCTGTGAGTTCGAGGCCAGCCTGGTCTACAGGAGCTAGTTCCGGGATCGGCACCAAAGCTACAGAGAAACCCTGTCTCAAAAAACCAAAAAAAAAAAAAAAAAAAAAAAAAAAAAAGATATCTGTGAGACCTGTCTGGGTTGTCTTAAAGTCGTTTTATTACCAACATTTGCCTATGTTTTCATTTTGGTTATTCTAGGTTGTTACAGCCGTCTCTCTGTATGTGTATGTGTGTGCGTGTGTGCGTGTGTGCTGTGCATGTCACTGTGCTTATGTGTGAGTGTGTGTGTACTTGTGA